CGTCCACACCGCACGCGGGAATAGAACGTGGGTCCAGAACAGTAGCCCTTCCGATGAAGGCCCCAAGATCCATAAAAATACCTCGAACACAAAGACACAGACACACAGACACATAGACACATAGACACATAGACACATAGACACACAGACACACAGACAACAAGACACGCAGACGGACAGACACACACACACAGACACACACAGACACACAGCCACGCACACAGAAACTCAAACACACAGACACACAGACACACAGACACACAGCCACACACAGCCACACAGACACATACAGACACACAGACACACAGACACGCAGGCACACAGCCACACAAACACACAGACACATGCACACTCAGGCACACAGACACGCAGACAAACACAACCACACAGACGCAAAGAAACACAAACACACAGCCACACACAGACACACAGACGGACAGACACAGACAGACAGACACACACAGACACACAGCCGCGCACACAGAAACACAGACACACAGACACACAGCCACACAGACACACAGACACACACCCACGCAGCCACAGGCACACACAGACACACAGACACACAGCTACACACAGACACACAAACTCACAGACACACAGACCCGCAGACACACAGACAAACAGACACACAAACACACAGACACGCAGACACACACAGCCAAACAGACACTCAGACACACAGACACAGAGACACACAAACACACAGCCACACACAGCCAAACAGACGCACAGACACACAGACACAAAGCCACACACAAACACACAGGCACACAGACACCCAGCCACACACAGACGCAGAGACACACAGGCACACAGACACACAGCCACACAGCCACACAGACACACAGAAGCACAGACACCGACAACCAGACACGCAGACACACACACACACACACACACACACACACACACACTGCGTCGCCGTGCACCCCGGGTGGGAGGCCACCTGCTCGAGTGCTTGTCACAGGCGGCTGCCTGGAAGACTCGTGCAGGATGGCGCCCAAACGGGCCTTCGCGACACCCGCGGCGCCCCCGTGCGCAGCACGAAGCCGAGCTGCTCTGGAACCGCACTGCCGGCAAGTCTGCTCCGAACGTTTCGGCGGCACTGCGCCAGAACGCTCTGGAATCGGTCCGTGCCGCAGCGTTTTGGCCCAGCAAGGGGAACATCATATCCGTGTCAACGTTCTCGGAAGCCTCACCTGGATCCCTCAAGCAAGGGAACCCTCAAGCAAGGGAGCATCGGATCGAAATCAAGCCTTCAACCCTAGGCCAAAGGACCGCGAGGGAATCTTCCAAGGGAACGCCATGGAGATGGAGACCTTCCACACTTTCCGAATCCGCCCCCCCGACGAATCGCCCAACGCTTTGGGGACAACTTTTCCGGACCAAGGCGAACTGAAACATCGGGGGCGCGCAAACATGGGTTAGCGATCCATGGATTTGGCGCGCGGTCGTCAGATCCATGGAGATCGGGGGAAGCACCCTCCCCAAAGTGCGGCCGGCGCCGTCTTGCTCGGCGGCGGAAGCCCGCGATTCCAAATGGAAAAGAAGCCCATCGTTCATCCACGCCCCCTTGATCCAACGGAACCTGAAAAAGCACCTCGAGCCACACGGAACACTCCTGGCCCCCAGGGACCTGAGCGCTCGTGCGTCGAGGCACGTCGCGCCCCGGCCTGGCCCCTGGGCCCCCCCCCTGGCGAAGCAGCGCCGAGAGAACACCGCGTGAGAAGAAGTATCCCCGACCTCGCTACATTGAGGTCGGGCATGTCCTCCTATAGGCGGTTGTGAATGAAAAAGACCACATCGTCAAAAAATACCTGTTTGTGTTTTGTTGGTATTGTTTTGCTTTCACACCAACACAAAACAACATATGACCCCAGATTCTTGTTTTAAACTATTGTTGAATCATCCTCCTGTAGAAAGAAATGCCCGACTTGACGCTACATGTCGCCCGTCATTCCCACAATCGCGCCCGAGCGCAACAAGTTCTGCTCCGCGCGCCCCAGCAGAATGACGAGCCCCGGCCCCAAGCAATGAAACAATGAATTTGGCGAGTTGCCCCTTCCCCCAACGAGGTGCGCCAGCGTTTGAGCCAAGGGTGACCACGCGCCGCGAAAAAAACAGGAGCGCAACCTGCCAGACTTCTCCCCCAGCCAAAGCTCCTGACCGAATGAGGAAGCCTCGTGCGGCAGCCTGAGTGCCAAGGTCGGATCCAGGTCGGATGCCCGTCGGATTCCCCTCGCATTCCTGGGAGCGGCCAAGAGGGGGGTGTCCAAGAGGGGGGGGTGCAAATCATGACCGGCGGCATATGCGCGGCCCAGCGGGGGGGCCAGAGACGTAATGAAACAAGAAGAGGCGCCACGAAATCTGGGGGAATGTCATGGCCCCCGCCATGATATCCCCCCCCCCTAGTCATCACCCCCTTCTTTTCCGCCCCCGAACGTCGGATCCATGTCAGATTCACGCCAGAGCATCGCCGAGAGCGGACGTCGCCCCATACGGCGCGGACGCGTGGACTGGAGACTGGAGAATTCAAGGAGTGCGCGCCGCGCCAGGCCTCCAAGACTCGCCATCGCTCGGACGTCCATTCCCTGTGTTTTTTTGTCGGTTTCGTGCGTGGTTTTTTCGCCAAATGATCAAGGATGCTCCTCGATGGTAGTCGTCGAAAGAAAAATGCACACGTCCGAGCGATGCCAGGTCCAAGACTCGATCGGACTGGATTGGAACAGGGCGCGCGAGAGGACGCGAGACACTTCCGAGGGCCACGCTGCCACAGGAATGTGAGAAGGCAGCGGTCGCGAGGCACAGGACTCAAGAACACCCTTGATCTGGCAGGGCCGACCTACCAATCAGGGCCGACTGTTCTCCTCGTTGCCGACGCCGCAGGACATGCAGCATCGTAGAGCAGATCCACCGAAGCCCTGGGCCCCGTCCTTCAGCAGCATTCGCCGGGCCGGGCCGACCCGCGAGGGCGGCGAGGCTTGGAGTAGGGGCAGCATCGCATCACCCGCCGCGAAACAAGCATTGTGACGCCAAGATCTCAAGGTTTCTGGGTGGCTCTGGCTTGCCATCGCTCGGATGTCTATTCCCCTCTCTTGCTTGGTTTCGTGAGCGTTCTTTGGCACATTGATCCCGGATGTTCCTCGAAGGTACTCGCCGAAAACAAATGCACAAGTCCGAGCAACGCCAAGCCGAGGGCGAGGCGACGTAATTCGGGCCTCTGACAACCGCTGCCCGAGACTGTCTGACCTAGACCGCGACGCAGGGCAGCGGCTGCTGGTTGACTCCCCGCAGACTCGCGCCCGTCCTCGTCGCCCTCTTCCTCCTCCCCACTCCGTCTCCCCCCTCTTCCTCCTCCTCCTCCTCCTCCTCCTCCTCCTCCTCCTCCTCCTTGTCTCCTCCTCCTCCTCCTCCTCCTTCTCCTCCTCCTCCTCCTCCTCCTCCTCCTCCTCCTCCTCCTCCTCCCCCCTTTCCCCAGGTACTCCAATCCTCCTCCTCCTTCTCCTCCTCCTTCTCCTCCTTTTCCTCCTCCTCCTCCTCCATCTTCTCCTGCTACAGCTCCTCCTCTTCCCGATGCCGTGGAGCCCCCCTCTGAGGACACAACTATACAGTTACAGATCTGTCTGTAATAAAAAAGGCGAACTGCCCGGGGGGGAAAGCAAACTGGTAGCCTGCAGATGAGGGAGAAAGCGAGGGCAGACCTGGGGATGAAACGGGAAGCAAACAAATCTTCACGTCTCGAAAAAAACACAATGACCAATCCTTCACTCGTTCCCCCCTCCCGCCATAAAAACCACACAGAGGGAAAAGCTGGTCCCAGGAACAATGTCGAAAGGGAAACGGCGAGGAACGACGAGACGCTCTCGGAGGAGAAGAAAGAGGATCAGCAGAGGAAGCACGTTTTTTTTTTTTTGACAACCAAAAAAACGAATTTGGGAGAACAGAACGTACAGCAGAGGGAAGAAGAGGAGATGAGGGAGGAGTAGGAGGACACCGAGGCGGGAAAGGAGGAGCGGAAAGCGCACGAGAAGGAGGAGGAGAAGGAAGAGGATGCGGGAGGAGGAGGAGGGGCAAGAAGAGGAGGAGTAGGAGGATTAAGAGCGCCCCGGATCGGCGGCACTGGCCGGAGGCCACTACAATACACAACGCAGATAGCACCGCATATATTCCACGATTTATCTATTACACAGCATAGGTAGCACCACGTATATGGCAACACATATGGTGCTCAAGCATAGATTGCTAGAAACACGCTGTTTAGGGGTCCGCGCTGGCTAACGGCTAACACCTATAAGGGGAACGGATGGCGAACGCGAGGAGGAGGAGGAGGAGGAGGAGGAAGGAGGATGGAGAAAGAGGCAGTGGGCGCCGTCCGGGCAGGGGATGCACGCCGTCATCCCCGTGGCGTCGCCGTAGGAGCCCTCCGAACACTGCTCGCAGGTGACCGAATGCGGGTCGCGGTACATGCCTCTGAGGGTCAGGCCAGGTCGAACGAAGCGGGTGGCTAGCAAAGGGGAGACTAGCGAATCAGCTGCATGCAGCTGGGAACGACCCGTGTATCGAGGAACGTGCCCGGCGACGGGGGGAAGACAACCGCATGCACAATTTTTCTCAACCCCCCTTTCCCGATGCCCCCCTCTCCTTTCGTCCGACCCGACAGAGGCCTCCACGGAAGAGCACGAAGCGGGGTGGGAGGGGGGGGGCCGAGCAGACTGGGGGCAGGCCAGGAACCGACCACTCTCACCTGTCCACTACCGCCCCCCCCTCTTCAGGAGCCTTCAGCTAACCACCTCGCCGATCCTGGCTGGGCCCATCCTGGGCCCAGGAACGGTGCGTACACCCTCCTGGCTTGGCCAAGGGGGCGCAGACGTCGATCGTCGGCCCAGGAGCGACCTGGCCAGGATCGGCGAGGTCATTCGTCGACGCCCCCCTCTGCCAAACCACACGAAGGCACGCCAAAGACGTCCTTTCCCTTTGGAGCCGCCGTCCGGCAATTACCTCGGTGTAGGCTTTGCGGCGGCGAAAGCGGGACCCTCCCCCCTCCGAATAACAGCAGAATGCGCAGCACACCCGAATTGCGGATAAGAGTGAGGGGGCGGTCGCTGGGTGGGTCGCGGGTGGGTCGCGGGGTGAGTCGCGAGGTGAGCCGCGGGGGAATCGCAGGCGAAGCCGTCGACAACAACAATCATTTTACGAATGTTCGCTCTTATCTGCTCGCGTGCCACGCAACATGTGTTTCCCAAACCCTCGATGCTCGTCCAAACCGTCTTCGATCGTACCCCGTATCTCTTTGAGGGGTGTATCTTCTTCACCCGCCACGTGTAGTTGGCGCAGCCCCTGAAGCAAGGGAAGGGAGGGAGGAGGGAAGGGACAATGGGGAAGGAAAATAATGGAGCACGAGAGAGAGATTCTCAGGAGGGGAATTAGCTGCATGATACCAAGCGGCGCCCAAGCGGCAAAACCACGCGAGAGGGTCGGGCGGGCGGACCCAATCGGGAGGGTCGGGCGGGTAGACCCACACGGCCCGGGCGGGCAGGCGGGTCGCTGAGGCATCAGTCCTGCATGTATCGCGAGGAAATCTCGAGCGATGGCCCGATTCGCAAGTAAACCATAAGGAATCCACAGCGCCAGCATGATTCCTGAATGGTGGGGGCGCGGCGTCTCCATAAATTGCGTGGAAGTCCCACGCGAGAACGCGACTCCTGCGTAATATGTGTGAGAGAGTCTCGCGCGAGCACGCAGGTTAGATAAACTGTGAGAACGTGTCAACCGGGAGTTGCAAACCAAGGGCCAATAATACAATCTAAGCCTCAAGGCTTCCGCTTGCAAGAAGCAGGGTGCGAGCCCGGCGAAGAGCATTTCAATTGAAAAACGCCATCGGCGCCGGGGGATCAACGCGGATGGTTTGTCAAACATGAGAACACAACAACAACAATCATGTGACACTCGTGCGCCATGCCTCTACATGCAACATGTACCCATCATGGTGCCACATCTTCCAGAAGAAACTAATTCAACAAAGAAAAAATATTGTGAGCTTGTTTTTCTTCGAAGACAAGTGGGCGCTCAGACGCCATTCCAATAGCCGTTCGCCCGGCAGCCGGGAACGGAAAAGCAAGAGGCCGTCTTGGGGTCGGTTCCAAGCTCGGCGACTCGAGAACTCCGGGACCTCTGTGCAGATCCGCAGGGAGGGAAATAAGAGGGGGGCGCTTGAGCCAACAAGGTCACGGAGAGAGACGAGACTCCGCGACCCCAAGGCGGCCATCCCCCGAAGACTTCAAACTAACAGTATCGTGACAAACACTTGGCATGTGAGATTTGTTTTTCTCCGAGGCCAAGTGGGCGCTCAGACGCCATTCGAGTAGCCGTTCGCCCGGCGGCCGGGAACGGAAAAGCAAGAGGCCGACTTGGGGTCAGTTCCAAGCTCGGCGACTCGGCAACTCCGAATTTTGTCCAAAGAACACACTGGCCGCAGGCCTTGATATATTCAGCCGAATGGTTGGGATAGCGGGCGGAAGATTGTGTCAGCGAAGCTCTGAACGAAGGCAGCGCGCAGGCGAGGAGGGCACGGCTCCGAGAGCTTACTATACTTGACGCCACAAGGGTGGCTGCAAATTATCTCGACGTGTCGCTTGCCAGAGCAAAAGAGCAGACGCCCTGGCCGCAGCAGGTTTTACCGAGCTGGCTGCACGAGAGGTGGGCGCAAAGAAACCTGGTGCGCTTGCGCCAGGGGGGTCCCCAGGCGCAGACGTCAGCGACGCAGACATTGATGCCCTGGGTCTTGGCAAGTTTCTCGAGCGCTCTTACATTCCACAGAAGACTGGCGTGAAGGTTCTCGACAACAAGGGATGCCCAGCCTTCTGCAGAGGTCGAGGAGACTGGGGGCGACCGCGCGCAGGCGGTCGGCTATGTTGACGACGCGCTGGTCTGACGGAGCGGGGGGGGGGCGAGAAGGAAGGCCCGGGACCGAACGAGAAGAGGCACCGGGGGGCCGAGAAGGAGGAGCAGGGAGGAGCCAGCCAGACAGCAGCGATCAGACCAGCGCGCGCACAGCCCCGAATTTTTCGAACAAGAGTTCACTGAGCAGATCGAAGCGCGCACCATGTCGGATATCGACCTCAACTATCTCGATGCGTTTCAGGCGCGAGCGGCGCCACGCGCGAGAAAAGTTGCCTGATCCAGAGAAAAGCTCGAGAGCAATCGGGGGTCCGCTCAGCGACGCGCGGCGGATGTCATCCTCGAGATCCTGGATCCGATGCTGGCCGCAGCTGCGTGGGCCCGCCGTTGCGCGGCCTCTGCCGCCCGCGGCAGCTGCGCGGACAGCGGGCCGCCCCTCTCGCACCGTCACGCGCTGCTGTCTGACGCCCAACGCCTGCTGGCGAGCGGGCGGGCGCGGGCGGCCAACTCGCGGCTGGCCCCCCCCGGCGGCGCTGGCGCAGCGCGGACAGTCCCGGAGCGCCGAGGCCCGCGTCGACCGCGGCCAGGGTGAACAAGGCTGCCCAGGTCGCGTACTTCAGGTCGGGCAGCGGCTGCGCGCCGCCGCGGCCGGCTCGGAGGCAGGTCAGGAGGTCGTCCACCCCCGACAACTCTGGGTAGTCGAGGCTCAGCGACTTGTTGAACTCGCCTGACTTGGGCGGAGTGCTGTTCTCCGACGCACTCAGCGGTCGGGCCCACAGGGCGAGAGCCCGCGGGCCGCCGCGCGGCGGCGGGGCGGCGTCCTTCACCCGCGGGCGGAGGAGCTCGGACGGCCAGGTGTAGAACGCGAAGCACCGGAGCGTCGACAGCATGCCCTGCCGGCAGTACGTCAGGGCCGCTGTCAGGAAGGGCCCCGCGGAGCTCAGGAAGCCCTCGAGGAACTGCTCGTTGGGGTGGGATGTCACCGCCGAGTCGAGCTGCCATGCGATGTTGATCGCCATGCCCGTCGTCGCGCACCAGTGATAGAACAGGCCCGCAATGCGTCTGAACTGGGCCTCCTGGGGCTTCCTCACTGCGCGCTTCTCGGGCATGGTCGGGCCGTGCTCGTCGGTCGCGGGCCCCTCGCCGTAGTCCCTGTGGCGCCGAGATGCTCGATCGGCTCGCAGGTCTGCTTCGGTCCCGCGGGAAGGCCGCGGCTGTCTCGCCGCTCGCCGCCGGCGGAAGCTCCGCCGGTGCGAGGCGGCCGGCCCGGGCCGGGCCGAGGGCGAGCTCGTCCGCCGGGCCGACGTCGCCGCCGAAGGCCCGCCCGAGCCGCGCGGCGAACGCGCGGGCGCGGCGGCCCCGCTGGCCGCGGGCGCCCCCGCCCTCCGGAGCACGGCGTGGCGCTGGCAGAGAGACCGGCCGCGGATCGGCCTCTCTAGCTGGGCCGGGGCGAGGCCTCGGCCCAATCCCCATTCTTACATCTTGGGCCGCGGTCAGCAGTATTGCGTTCTGACGGGATCCAGCGCCAGCGAGAGGTCACGCCGAAGGCCGTGTTCAGGGTGGGTGCATGCCGACAAACTCTCATCAGCTTCGAGGGTGATCGCCGCTTGAACACGGCAAGGATGCTGGCCATGGCGTCTCCCAAGAACAGGTGGCGCTTCCCGAAGTTGCTCAAGGCTCTCGTTTTGTGGAGGTGGGCCAAGACCATGGCGCGGCCCTCGAGGGTCACCCGGGCCTCCGAACGGGCCCACCTCTTAGCCGGGGCGCGGCGCCGTTCCCCATCCCAAACGTCAGAGCCGATGTCAGGGAAGTCCAGGGAGCCGGGCAGCTGAGTGGGGGCCGAGGGGACCTCCGGAACTGCACCGTCGATGGCGAAACCTCCAAGAGTACCCGGCGAAAGAGCATGATCCCGAGGGCGATAGCCCACTTCATCTTGCCGAGAAAACCACCTCTCGTTGGACCGACCGAGCGACTCGACGATGTCGAGCGGCACCCTCTACTGCACAATGCAACCTCCCCAAGACGACGCGTCGACGGCCAGGGCGCCATCGGGCCAGGCCGCCCCGAGATCCCGAGAAGCGAGAAGTATGAGCCCAGCGGCCCATCGAAGTTCACGTCGAACAGAGCCCCACAACTGGCGGCGATGGGGCCCAGCGGCAGCTGCGAAGGAATAACGAGCAGAGAACGCACTCAACAATTCACGGAATCGTATACTGGGACATAACAATGTTTACCGTGTCACGACTAGCGTACCCCGCGGCAAGAATATGCTGGATTGCCAAGCGGATATCCCACGCAATGCGGGGGCTCAGTCCGACCGAAGCGCTCTCCTCAGCAAAGGTCCATCCTGGCGTTGTGGCGCCTGGGCCTGCCTCCACGGGGTGGGTATAGGAAGGTCCACCTTTCCCAACTCCTGCTGCGCCCCCTCTGCCGCGGCTCTGACGACCTCTTGATCCCCCCCGAAGGCGAAACAGTTATCGACGTACTCGGCGCGAGCGAAAGGCACTGGGACGGGGGGGGAAGGTGATCAACGACAGCGTTCTTTTCGGCGACGCCGGGAACGAGGCGGGCCCGATGTTCCAACGCCTGCTGGCAGGCCCGCAGAGAAAGCTCCCAGCCCATCGGGATCACCTCGATGACTGGATAAAAAGTATTGGCCCCGTCTGATGGCTCAACCTTGGGCCGACGAGACGTTCGCCAGGTCGGCTCGGGCTCGAGGGAGGGCGAACATCTCTCGGAGGGCTTCTGGTAACTACATGATATAGAAGGCGTTTGCGACATCGACCGAGCCGACCTGGACTGGCGTAGCGCTGTCAGCCTCGATGGTGGGAAATGCGGCCCCCGAGGCCAGCGACGCAGGGTCGCTGTCGCCAAGGTGACACGATGGAAGTCGCCCATCAACAATCAAACGAAGGTTGCCTGACTTCTTATATGCAAAGAACAGGCCGCGCGGGAACTCGCCCGTCAAGTGCCGCTCGACCAGGTCGGATCCTGCCCTCCGTCGCAGCAACTCCGCGCACAGGGCCGGCGGCCGTTTGAGGGCGGGGTCGGAGTGTGGTCGAGCGGGCCCGCGAAGTCTGGCGTTCTCCCTGCCACCGGATTCAGGCAATCGCAGATGAATTAAACGCTCAGCAATCTCTTTGCCCCGATCTCCTGCCAGATGCTCGAGTGATCGCGAGGTCGATCCAGCGGCCGGCAGGTCGATCAGGTGGGCGGCGCCCATGCTGAAAGGAGCGATCACGGCCCCCTCGCCGCGAGCACTCCTCGCCCGGAGCGCTCGAAGGGCACCTGGGCCACTCGCGTCGTCCGGCGGCGGGCCCATGGCCAAGACGGACTAGCGTATCAAGTTGAGACTGGCCTGCTGGCCCGCCGAGGGGCCACTATTCGACCGCGGACAACGCGAGCCGAGATACACGTCATTCAGCGCGCCGGCGATCTCATCGCACACTAGATCGACGTGATTGGCGCGCTGAAGCCGGCGACGAGTAGACCTGCCAAGATGCGCAGCAGCTCCACAGAATCCTCGGTCCAAAACTGGCGGGGGACGAGGAAGAGGCAGCAGGTTTCGCTGACGCTCGTCGGCCCAAGAAAAATGGCTGTGACCGGGACGCCGCCCAGACGCCAGGCCAGGAGGCCCTCCCTGAACGCGCTCGTGCCGGGGCTGGCTGGGAGGTCTCTCCAGCCCGGCGGGGCGTGCATCGCCCCGGATCCTGATCGCCCTTCTTGACAGGCTTGACCAGTTCCGCTCTCTCCTCGCGGGCCTTGCGGACATGCTCGAGGACGGCGACATTGCGCTCGATCTCCGAAGCCACAGGGGCGAGCAACTCGGGGCTGACCATGGCCATGCCTGATCCCTTCGCCATGTCCGAGACGATGGCCGACTCGTCGAAGGCCGCGGACTGGAGGGACACCGAACCGCCGGCCTTGCCCTTGCCCTTGGCCCCCGGTTCGCGCGTGGCCAAGTAGTCCATGTGGTACACGTACTCCACCAGCAGCGCCCTGCGGAGGGGCAGCTCGAAGAAACCACTGTTGCCGACGTCGATCATGTCATAGCCGACGCCTTCGTCCAGGCATCTCTTCGTCGTGTGGTGGACGTCGACGTACCTGTCGTCGGCCCGCAGACCGAACGTCATGATCAGAGACTGGTCGTGCTCGAGCGGGCCCCCTTGACACCTGAAGAACCACTCACCGCACCACTTCACCGTCGTGGGCCTCGGCACACAGGCCAAGCGGGGAAAGGCGACTGGCGGAGCTCCACGGCCGAGGGGGCGAAACGTCCGCGATCTCGATCCCTGTTGGTGACGAGCGTCGCCCTGCTGAGCCTGAGGTCGCGGTGGCCCTCCATCGTCTGATACTCCTCGACCGGCGGCGCCTGGGGGTCCCGGACCAAGACGAGACGCCGAGGGGAATGGTAAAGATGCCGACGTTTCCCCGCACGATGTCCGCCGCCGCCAGGCTGACGGGTCTGCCCCGGGGGGCGAAGGCGGTCGACTCCACGGTCATCCACTGCGCCCTCGCCGAGGTCCCGCCCAGCAGCTCGAAGTACACGTCGGAGTCTGGGGTCGCGCATTCGACCTGGTAATCATTGAGTGGCGTCGCTCCCGCCGGCTGCGAGTGGCCCAAGACCTGTCGCTGCTGCCACACGTGGCCCCCGATGTACAGGATCCACGCCCACAGCTGCACGACCCTTGACGCCATGGCGGCGCTCGGCCGCGACGCACGTCACGCCGAAGAATCCGATCGCGATGAGGCCGCGGCAGGTCGTGACGAAGGCGGCGGCGCCGACCACGTAGTCACGAAGCCACTTGAACGCCAGGTCAACTGGCTCAGCAGGCGACTCGGTCGAGGGGCAGGGCGTAGGCTCAGGCCAGATCGTCGTGGTCGGTCCTGGCGAACCGGGGCACGCGGGGCAGCTCGGCGCAGCGCGGCACGCGAGCTGGCAGGAGCATGGCGGGCACTCTGGACTCGACGGAGCTTCGGACAAAAGCTGAGGTGTGAGACTGCGCTCGCTCCCAACCACTCGGTCACACGGTTCGACGCCGAACCGTGCGCTCGCTTGAGCCAACAAGGTCACGGAGAGAGACGAGACTCCGGGACCCCAAGGCGGCCATTCCCCGAAGACTTCAAACTAACAATATATCGTGACAAACGCTTGGCATCCCACACCGTGATCTCCAGCCCGAGGAGATCGAGCCAGCACCTCTCCCGAGGCATTTTCCCACTTTCAGCTCGCAGGTCACAATAAAAGAAGGCGACGTTGGGGAGCGGTGAGTCACGCTCCAGGAAAAGAAGCACCATATAAAACACTAAATGTTCGAACCCCAATCGACGGGCAATCTATACGAACAGACGCAACACAATCATACTCAGGATTCGAGCCCCTCCAGGAGAGGAGCAATCTATACGAACATACGAATATCACTGAGGATTCGAGCCCCAGGAGAGCTGCTGGTGAGCCTCTTGTTTAAGCGGCTACGGGACGCAGGGGCTGAAGACAGGCTAACCTCAACGCAATGTGGTACCCGCAGAAGCAGAGGGACGTCAGATGGTATTCGTACGGTACGCAGGAGCATCGACTTGGCCCGTGCAGCACAGGGCGGTGCAGTTGCTTTCGTTGCGCTGGATTGGAAGCGAGCGTTTGATTCAATCAGTGTGGACACAATGCTGCTCCCTCACATTGCGGAAATTTGGGCTTCCAGGTAGAATGCCTACGCTCATCAGCAACACTCACGCCGACTGGCATTTCCACGTAGTTGGCGGTCTTTCGACGTCCCTACAGTGGCAACACCGAGGCGGGATTTCACAAGGGTATCCTCTATCATCTTTCTTGCTCATCATGCTGACGACGGTGGTGTTGAACCACGCAGAGGGCAACCTGGGGCACGGAGCGACATCAGAGATGGATGTGGGACCTATGTCGGTGTTGTCGTATGCACACGGTGCGTTGATTCTTGGGCGTCCTCAAGAACATCTGCAATAATTACTGGATGGACGTTCTATGACTGGAGGCCGAGCCGGGATGGAACTCTACTGGGGCAACTTCCACTTGATGCAGATTGATTGCTTCTTGAATTACAATGTAAATCCAGAAAGCAATTTGATCCCGGCGAAAGATACTTTGGCCTATCTTGGTACAAAAACGTATCGAACTGGCAGCGTCAGCAGTGAGTTGAACAGAAGATTGGGAGCCGCATCGAAGGAGTTTTGCACATAATCATAATCCGCAGCATGAAAGCATTGTAATGCTGGAACCCAGGCAAAGGTTCAAAGTTCAAAGTTCAAATCAAGTTGTTTTTGTTCAAAGTTCAAAGTTCAAGTTCAAATGCTGGAGCAGCATTGTTGTTTTTGTTCAAAGTTCAAATCAAGTTTGCCGAGGAGTTCAAATAAAGTTCCAAAAAAGTTCAAAACCAACGGCGCCGATTCTGACCCCCTCACCAATTCGCCCTCGCGGCGCCCATTCCCCGGGACACCCGTCACGCGCACCCAGGGTTCACGCTTGCGCTGCGATGGAACTCACCGATCTGGCGAAAGCGTCGCGGGCCTTGCGCTTCAAGCCAAAAGCCCTAAGCCCTTGACCTCTTGCCATACGTATAAAACGTTGAATTTCTAAGCCCTCTGCCCAAAAACCTACACCGTAGACCCTGGGCCCTACACTAAGCACTAAGCCTCAAGGCCTAGCGCCGAGGCCCTTGGGCGCAAGCCCGACGGCGTAAACCTGAGCCACGACGCCTGAAGCCCGAGGCAGTAGGGCCAAGTCACTGAAGCCCAAACCACACCCAGGGCCCCAAGCCGCTGAACCCTGGACGCCGCGCCTCAGCCCCCAGACCCTAGACCCTGGGCCCACGGCTCGGAGCCTTCGGACCCATGGCCTGGGTCCATGGGCCTAGGCCCAAATTCCTTGGCCGTGGCATCGATGCCTTACGCCAGAGGCTGCAGGCCTGGGGTCCTGGGGCCCAAGCCAAACCTGAGACCCCTGGCCCCTGGGCCCTAGGCGCCGCGCCCCAGACCCTATGCCCTATGCCCGAAGTCCACGCCCCAAAATAAGGTGCGCGGCACAGGGCCGGGGCCCTGCCGCACGCCGCGGGAATCACACTCCCCCGCGGGACCCCGCCCCCCAAAAAGGCAACCGCGAAAGGCCCCCCGCCGGCGGGGCTTTGACATTCCGCGGCGAAATCCGGAGACCCCCCGGGGACCAGTAAAGTTTACCACCGCTGTTCAAAATGAAGTTCAAAACAACTTCAAGAAAAGTTCAAAAAAGGTTGAAGGGCAAGTTCAAACAAACTTAGAACAAAATCAAAGTTCAAAACAAGTTCAACAAACAGTTCCAATCAAGTTCAAAAAAATTCAAAGTTCAAAAATAATTCAGAGAAATTTCAAAACAGTTCAAAGTTCAAAAAAAAGTTCCAAAGCAGTTGTTTTACAAAAAAAGTTCAAACAACGTTCAAACAAAGTTCCAACAAACAGACACCATAAAAAATAGGAAACAACGGGGTTCCCAAAAAAATTCCCCAAAAAGTTCAAAACAAGTTCAAACACATCAAAAAAAGGTTTGCCGCGTCCAGGAAGGCCCAAAAAACAGCTAGGGCAGATTCGCCGTACCCGCGGGGGGGATCGCGGGGCGTTCCCATTGCCCGTCCCTGGGCGCCAGGGTCCCTGGCGGCGCCTCGCAGGGCGCCTTCCGGAAATGTCAATGTACGTTCCAATGTCTGAGGTCGAGGGTCTAGGGTCCCTAGGGTTTACCGCCTCGGGTCTAGGGCCTAGGGTCCTATGGCCTGGGGTCTAGGCCATATGGTCTAGGGTATAGGGCATCGGGTCTGAGGTCTAGAAGGTCTCGGGTCCAGTGTCTAAAGCTTTAGGGCCTGGGGCCTCGAATCTCAGTCCAAAGGTCTGGGGTCTCGGGCATCGAGTCTAGGGTCGATGGGCCTCGGGACTAGGGTCGACGGGAAGCGCGTGCGAGGAACGAGGAGCGTGGACCGCTTTTCTGAAGGAAAAAACCTAACCTATATATATATATATATATATATATATATAGGGGGGGGGGGGCTCCAGGCTGCAACTCGGACGGGCGTTGGCGGACGACGGGGAGCGTCTTCGAGGTGCGAGAAGACGAGCTGGACGTTTTCGCTGAATCCGCCTCGTATCTGTAAAGAACATCTAAGTATAGGGTGGCGCGCTGCACGGCGCGGCACGTCCGCTGGGGCCTTGGGTGGAGGTCCATATGGGGCCACGAAACGCGTGGCATCTGCGATGCAACAAAATTCACACGATTTCTCTACCATTCCATTCAACAACAACAACAACTCTTCAATGATTTTCTAATACAAACAACAATGACATGGTACCATTTGAGTCTTTTAAATGAAACACATAAGCTAAGTTTCTTAATCGTTAAGCAAAGAACAAGAATATAAACACTTATACTAATTAATTTCATTTGAATTTACATAGATTCGTCACTATGCCATTGCTGTTGTAGAAAAGACATTAAATACATATAAAAAAAACAAAAAAAAACAAAGTTTTTCCGGAATTTAAACGGAACAGTTTTGAACTTCTTGAGAAAATCCCCAAGGGGGGCCCTTTGCCTTGGAGCAGCATTACAATGAAAGCATACATCAATTCATGCAAAAAGGGGAGTTCAACGATTCCCTTCTTCCATCACGTCTAATGTCAGGGACTCCCTCAGCACGGCTTGGTTAAGTAAGAAGGAACACGGGCGATTAAATAGTTTCCAACACCAGCGTCTCCAAATAATTCTGAATATTCCAGCGGCGCTCCCGTTCCGCATCTCCAACCAGACTGTTCTCGGCAGGTCCAGTCAACTACCCTGCACATGCCTCGTTCCGAAGCATTAGCTTCTGTGGTTTGGGACAGCTGGAAGAGCCCACAGCGACGACTTCATCCGAAAACTCACGCTCCGAAGTGACAGCGCCCTCTCCGCCACGCCCTTGCTCAAGCGGAAGATGGGGGAGACACAACGAAGAGTGGGCCACGCGCTTGTACGAGATCACATCGGCACACTTCACCCCAGAAGCAACTATTATGGAGTGCGCGCGCGACCCTCAGGAATGGGACAATTGTTGTTCAGAGTGGTAACCGCATGCCGGTAGGAATCATCTCCTGGGGATAACAAAATTCGGGGCCCAGGCGGGGGAACGAACTTTTTCCCGGGGATGTCGATGTTCGGATGTCCGGGTCGCGTTTCGCCTGAGACATCCTCACGATCAGAGCTACACTGGGAACTCATGAAGGGATCGCAATTTCCGGCCTCCCCGCCTGCCGTTGCAACTGAACAGCATTGAATCCCGCCCCGCGGATAAAGAGATGCAAGGGGAACGGGGAGGGGGGGTGCTTTATTATCCGGGGTCGCAGTTATTCGGGGCCCAAAAGTCGTCATAGCTGGGCCTCCGCCAACTTGACTGAACTGCGAGGAAGTCTCGAGCGAGAGCGCCGTTCCTGTGTTCTGGGGCATCTCTGGCCAGGGTGTCTCGCTTTAAACTGTGAGGAAATATCGAGCGGGAGCCGTTGCCGTTGTAGCCGGGCCTCCAAGGGCACGCATTTACACTCAAGCCCGCGCCCGAGCGGGAGCCTCGTTTTCAGAAGAAATTGCAGCCTGCGTCGAGGCGAGAGTGCGCGGAACCGTTTCCAGAGATCAGCAGGAAGTATTCGACAACAACAACAACAACAACAACAACAACAACAACAATCATTTTACCCGAACGCGTGGTGTTCTCCCCAGTGCCAGGGTTTTCATACGACACCAGGCAATACCCCCACTTCGTGGGGGGGCATTACAAGCTCTACCAAATATCCAAACGACTCTTCGCGACCACCCAAACCCAGCTTCCCGCCCTATGACGTTGGGACACTTCACTTCGTGGCGTGCG